AAAAAAATCTGTTCACACAATCTGCCTTGAGCAGAAGCACCCCCTCATCGGTTGAAAAGGGCCATATGGTCGGGAGTGTTCATTTTGTTGGCAGCGACGCGAGCGTTACGTGTGCATTTCGTAGTCGTTAGTGAACCAACGAAGCGTAGTTCCGACCAAAGGAGCCGCCCTTACTAGGAAAATTGCGCCCTCTCTTGACTCAGCTCGAAGCTCATCATACTCACTGATAGATAAAAAAATAGTGGACCAGAAAATCAATAACTTCTCAACTGTTGCACATCTTCGTTTGCTTGTGAGGATGTTGGCACTTTGGCAGGGATATTGGCCTAAATGTATATCCTGCCCCGGTGCCCAATTCCTGTAACATTTGAAAAGAGAGCTCCGGGGTGGAACAAAGTTTGTTTGCACATGAGCCGGTGCTCATAAATATTCTTTTGGGAGGTATACGAATTAGCGAAATAATCTGACAATGTTGAATCATGTAATTGGTTATGTCAGAAATTGGTGCGGCCTTTTTGCTTACTGTCATTTCATTGAGTGTTTGGGTGGGTGTAGTGACGGACCCAGAATTTCAAAAAGGGGGTCCTGAATTGGAGATGAACCCGAACATACGAGCAGGCAATTCTTTTATTTGGATACATTTTTTAAAATCATCAAATAATCAGATGAGGGGAAAAGAACCACAGGGGAAAGGTAAAAAAAACTTGCAAACAAAGAACACAGAAACAAACGAGGGTGTGGAACGCTCCCCTCTGAATCTACTACTGGGTGGAAGGGCATGGGTGAAAGGGGGTACATGTAGTTGGTTGATGGATAGATTGATATTTTTTAACGCACGTTGTATTTGAATACGTTGGTAAATGTTGTCTACCTCCAAGAACAAGAACTGAGCTGACGAACTGATGGGAAATTATAATTTACGGTCTTCATAACCTTCATTTCTTATTCTCCCCAGTTCCTGTACAGAGGTCAGCAAAATTTGGAAGGCTACACATGGGGGGCTTGATCAGTAACCCCAACCCCCTGTTGACCCAGAAGACAAGATCCCTAGCACTGTGCGCCGATCAGTATACTCGGGCTACCGATTGTTTTTCCTTTGATTACACAAAGAGTAGCAAGCGATGTCGTCTATATAATCTGAATTCCACAGATATTGTAATTACACCGAATGCGGACTGCACTATTTACATATCCGAAAATTAAATTGCACAGCACACCATTAAACCATTATGGCAGACACTCATGATGCCAAAAAAGCAATTTTTCTCCAAGTAACGTTTAATGAGTTTCAACATATTTTGAGGCACATATATATGTTCACAACAAGTATTAAGGACGTAAGAGCACTCAAAAATTGAAACTAATGAAATAAAAATGGAAGCAAATTTGCTTTGTTGAAGGCCTTACCTCTTTACGTGAAACAAAAAGAGACCATTGAAAAAATTTCGAAAAAGTTCATACCCCAGCCTAAAATTATGGAATTTGGTAAAAAGTTAAACTGCCATTTTGTCTAAATAGCATTGTTAGAAATCACAAGGCTGTGTAAATACAATTATGAAAGCATTATGCTGTATG